CTTCATTTTACCAAGCTATGTGCTTTATCTCTTTTACTTGTTAGCACGGGGCTTAGCACTACCCACTTATAAATATACAGAAGTATATAGCGATAACCGCCTTCCCGATTTCCACCAAATTTGGTCCAATTATTTCAATACTCTTCCGAAAATACGATATTTAATACGTGCGCCGGGTATATAAAGTTCGGTTTCGCCCGAACTTATACTTCTTTACTTGTTTAAATAAAAATATATTTTTCGAGTTACATTTTTTTGTAATTTTTTCATAAAAATATTGTCCAAGTTTTAACCAAAACCACATAAATCACAGTTTCACACTTTATAAAAAATTTTAAGGAAATTCAAAACAATTTCATCAAAATTTCAACTTTTAAGTCTAACGGTTCTATTCTGTATCAATGACAACTTCTAGTCACAGTTTTTATTACGGAAAAATATATGAAAAATTTTAATTTGTTGTAAAAAGATTTTTGTCACCGATACAGAAGTGGGCTATAAGTCTTTAGAACAGTTTTAGTCCAGTTAATTGAACGTTTCAAACGGCTGAAAAATCCCGTTGATTTTTGTAATTTTTGTTTTGTGACGAAATTTCTTATAAAATAAAATGTCGGAGACCGTTCGTTCAAAACAAACCACAAAAGCAGTTCCCAAGGAAAATTCTTCGTTTCGTTGGACTAAATGTATATCAGCTATAAAACTGCATACCCAAAAATATTCTAATGAACCGCAAACTAAGTTTCAGCGAACACGAAAATATAAAACTTATGGTCTCATCCCTAGGCTGTGTTACTTAAAATAAGCCCAGCTTTATATGAGCGAATTGCAGGCACTGTTTTCGGCAGGAGTGACCTTATTCTTTGAAAATTGAGGCATTAACAACTTAAAGAATATTTCATTTTTATTTAACCATTGTCAGAAAATTGTATTTGTTCATTTCGAGAGAAAGAAAAATTTTCACAATTTTATTACATTAAAATAAAAATTTATTCGCATTAACTACACTGGCCGCCAACGCAAAAGCAAACAAAGACGACGGATACATATGTATGTACATATAAGGCTGAGTAGCTGAGCATACAAAATTACGCACTTCAGCACATTAATTTAAAATCTTACAGCAGTTAATGTCGATTGCAATCAACATTCAACGCCTTGAAGTAGGCTTGTAATCACACGCACATACATACATACATACATACATACGTTGTCAGCACATTGAAGGCACACATAACGCAGCTGCGACTTGGCCTTTCACCTGACCGAACTGAGTGTGTACATGTGCCAGCTTGAGTGTGTATGTGTGTGTGTGTGTGTTGGTGTGTGTTGGTGTGTGTTGGTGGATTTCAGTTGAATCCTGGCACAGAATTCTTAATATTACCCATCGACTGAGTGGCCATTTGCAATGTTTTATGCGCTTTGTGTGTGTTATGCGGTTTTTTCTCGTTTTTATTTATGTATTTTATTTATTTTTTGTTTTGTGTGTAGCTGTGTGGCTGTGTCTGTGAGCTTGCGCTTTTTTTTCATTGCAAATACGTCTTTTGTTTTTGATCATTTTTTCTCTTTTTTGCGGCTATTAAATTGGATTATTGTGGATTTTAAAACTCGAAAATTTACGAGCACTTACCAAGTGGCACAAGGAGTACGCACGCACACAACACTCATACAAGCACACTCATGCATATTCACATACATATACATATGTATATATATATATGCATTTAGTAATGATTATAACCACAAAAATACATAAATTTTTCGCATGTGCGCATATAAATTCATATACATATGTATGAATATAAATATTCTTTTATACTCAAATAAATAAGTAATGCTTCGCTGTTGAAGTAATTTATTCGTATACCATATATTCTGAGCCACTTATCCCTATGCTCTCGAAAATCTCGCATTCACCTCTGCTACAGCCACAAGCGCTGCGTTCGCACTGCTCATTCATTAAAGCTACGCTCGTTCATTTTCGCCTTACTTTTGCTGATCTCTGAAGTGGAATAGCGTCTTTCCTTATTGCTGTTGTTGCTTTAACTTAAATGCGTAAATTATTAACGCAAATAAAGATACTTTATTATTATCCCTGTCATGTGGTTCGCATTTTAATTAAAAATGAACAAATTTGTGATCAGGAAAAAAATATGTGTGGAAATAAAAGTAAGATGAATGTTTTTTAATAAAGTGTATAGATAATTTTTATGGCTATACTTGGACGTTTTCAGCAAGGGCACAGTCCACACAGTAGCCAAACTGTAGAAGCCAGTGGAGGTGGCATGCTGCTGGTTGACCCCTACCTATCTACTCGAGTTGCTTAGAATGGAGCTATTTCACGTTTCTTCCGAAGACCATTTAAATATTTATTGAGCTAAACTTATTAGGAAAAGGATTCCTAGACCTGGCGCGCACATACTCTTAAATCGGCAATCCTATTACATGAGCAAATCGCTGGAATCGACACTGTACTCGGTTGTATAGATTACTGGATAGTCGCTCTTGCAGAGGACTCGGTGTCTTTGCTGAATCGATTAGAGTTTTTTTCACGTGCTGCCTGCGGAAACCAAAATCTTCCCAAATAAACTGAACTTAGAAGTCGACCGACAGAGTAAGGCAGCACATCTAGCAGTAGAAGAATAAGTAGAGGTACCCTGTAAAACGGACTGCTTCTTGTAACGCTGGAAAGCAGCGGCTGTTGGATGGTTTCTTGCGCGGTTGTCATAACGCTTATCTTTAGAGAAAAGTTCATAGTCTCTCATTGGTCGGCATTCTGCTTATTCTCCCTGACGTTACAATATTTAGGCTTGTTACTATACAGCAAGCTGTCATCAATACCAAACATGGAGGAAATGTTCAAGAAGGTGTCTGAGGCGTTATATTTCTCCAGCGGAGCCATTGACAAGCGTTATAGCCTCTCGCCGAAAGTTGTTCACTGGCTGCTGGCTCTCTATGATATTCCAGGCAACCCTACATCTGCCGGGCCGCTGTTATATACGAGGCATTAGCTTTAAGTAAATACGAATGTTTTAAAATTTCAAAACGCTTTGAGTTCACCTCGGCTTGATCCAATCACTGAATAGTAATGTTAAGTCTAATCATATTCCTTCATGATGTTTTCTGAACAAAAAAAATGTTGGTCAGACCGCAACCTGCCGGATGCATCAAAGATGGTTGGAAGGGCAGGTGAGTTGTCTTCTCTATCAACAGAAAATTTTTGCCATCGAATGACCGCAGTGGCACCATAAAAAGTCAGCCAATGGGACGCTCACAAATGAAGTCCTAACTAGTCAAGGATGTGAACATATATTTCGTTAGGTAGGTGGCAGAAAGGGCCCATGCTTCATTGATGATGCGCTTTAAAATTGTCGGGGAGCACCTGGTATACCTTTCACTGCATCAGAATATTTCGCTGCAAGCTCATTTGGCTCAGCTTGGCCACTCATCAATGACAGTGCATACCACATGCAATGGCAATTTGATACTCCTCGGACAAGGGCACGCTTCAAAGAGTCATTCTTTTTATTAAATGACTAGCAAATAACGGCTGTGCTTCAATGCACCTTAAAAGTATATTTATGTTGTTACTCCCTCTTAAAACTCTTATGGGTGCTAGTTAATACATATATTTTTTTTTCGGTATTTCGAAAGTAGCTATAGTACCGGCTTTCTCCAGACAATTTAATTAATAATTTATAAGTCGAGTGTAGGTACATACCGCGCACTTTCTTCAAATGTATACTGATCCAATATTCACCTTATCTCATAAATTTAACTGAATTAAATTTTTCAAATAGGTGGCAGCACGCCACAAATATATTTTCGACGGTAAACTTTCCTAAAGCTCTTTTCTTTAATACCCGTGATGTAATGTTTAATTTTCTTATCAATTTAATTGAACTAAATTTTTCAAAAAAGTGGCAACCTCCTTCAAAAGTATTTTCGACACTAAACCTTCCTCTTTAGTTAGATACCCATATTGCAATATTTTCGGGAGTGAACTTTTCTAAACTTCTTTGATTTGATATCCATATTGAAATGTTTAATCTTTCTTATCAATTGAATTCAATTACAATTTTTAAACAAGTGGCAACCTTCCGCAGAAGAATTTTCTGCTGCAAGTGTTCTTAAACCTCATTCTTTTGACAACCATATTGCAATATTTACTTTACCTTATCAATTTATTTAAACTGAAATTTTCAAACAGGTGGCAACTCCCTAATTTTTCTTGTTCTATATTTTAAGTCAGACCTTTTGCAATACATTTGTACGAGCACGAGTGGTAATTTTGCTCTTTTTTAACCGACTTCCAAAAAAGGAGGAGGTTATCAGTTCGTCGGAAAATTTTTTTTTTTTTTTTTTTTTTTATGTATGTTACCGCATAACTTTGGACCACCGATTTCGATAATTCTTTTTGCATCGGAAAGGTAGTGTCTCAGAGGTGGTCCCATACTAATCTGGTTAAGATCCGATCAGCGGATCATGAGATATATATATATATATATTTTTTTATATGGGAGTTGAAGTCGGTTTTTTTTTTTGCTAAAAATTACTAGTAGTTTGTATTTTTTAGGTTTTCATTTGAATACAATTTAGCAATGAAATCTTGTTCTTTATGCAAAATTGAAGATAATGTGTGCCACCATTTGAAACCTATTGAGATTTGCTTATATATGTACGATAAACAAAAATTTATCGATAAGAATATCTGCTAATACATCAGTATAAGTACATATTGAGCTTACAGCAATACACAACACTTCTTAGCTTCCATCTCATTTCTGTTTACACAGATCTTTATGTTTGCAACTAATCTTCGTTTACTAAACCACTTTATTTAGTTTTTAGCTTTGGGTGGTGGTTGAATGTCTAACTGTGTGCTTTGTATTAATTTAAAAAATTTAAATCCTTCCCATATTTGTTCAAAAATTTATCATCTTATCTTTTTACTCTTTTCTCGTTTCTCCCTTTTTCTCTCTTTCACTCTTTCACTTATACAGTGGACAAACATCCAGCCGGCAATGCAACAAATGCCGATGGCACCATCATCTCACCACCAACTGATTCCAGTTACTTAGCATTAGCGATAATCGGTTCACTAGTCGGCTTCGGACTAGTGACAGGTGTGGTAAGTGCGAACAAGTAAATAAGATCCGCCCGTAATTTGGAATTTTTGGCTTAGCCAACCACAAAAGTAAAGCAAGATAAACTAAAATCGTACTTTTCTCCTTCTCTTTCACACTTCGCACAGATACTTTGGGTCGTTTATCGTCACTGCAGCAGACGTCCCACCTCAATGAACTTTGAAAATCCGGTGTATCGTAAAACCACCGAGGATCACTTTAGTTTGGAGAAGAATAATCTGCCGGCGCGCATGTATCCAAGCACGGTGGACGAAGAGGTAAGCGCGCCATGCATTAACAATTTCAATTATATGAAATTTTGAATTGAATTTGCAAGAAAAGAAAAGTAAACCAACTAGCTAAGTAAATAAAAGTACTAACACTAACTAACTAATTTAATAAAAAAAATATATTAACAATTAAAAAATATTTACTTAAATTTGAAATTAGTGAGATAAGTTTGCAAGTAACTTTTAAGTAATATTAGCATTAATATTTAAAAAATTAGCACATTAATAATGCAAATTGCAGTTAAAGTTTACATAAAAAAAAAATTACAAAAAACTTTAAAAATA